GGCCATTTGATAAACCCCCTTCCCCCAAATAGTGATTGTCCAATCATGGCTTAGCAACTGTAGTAAATAGATGCAGATTTTTTTTTTTTGGCCTGGGACGTGTAGCTTAAGGCATTTAACATGTTTGTAGCCTTCATGTGTACATCCAGACTCCTTTCCCGGTTTCTCATTTAAAACAAGTTTGCTGGAAACAATAAAAAGTCAGCTACAGACCGAGTTTCCAGCCAACCCACTTGGGCAGCGTTGATGAACTGAAATCTTCCGTGACAGTCGTCATTTAGAAATAAGGGTCCTGCTTGTTTACCTTTTGTGGGCAATCAAAGTCCCATTGTTTCAAAAATGGCTACTCATTTTGACTGGTAAATCTGTCCTTGTTGTCATTGTAGACTACACATAAGCCAATGCCAGGAAAGCAATGTTGCCCTATTTCCAGGTCCAAGCAAACGTTAGAGTTGTAACGTAACTTGGTGAAGTTATACTTTAAAGTGTGAGCTACATGTTGTTGAATGTACAGTATTCCTTATGGGGAATATTATATACACCCGCTGTCCTTATTGTATGTTCACTTGCAGTTATTTGCTTTGTTAAACATACTTAACACGTGTTTGGGTAACACCTCCTCAGAGGATGAAATGCAACAAGTGCCTCTGTTTGAGTGAATCCGTTATGTGTGCGAAGGCGTCGGGACTGTGCAGTACCAGAATGAGTCGGTTTAATAGGGAACAGGCATGCAGTGAAGCAGGCAGTCGTGTTGCATAACGGCCGCTGTAAAAAAAAAAAAAAAAAGAGAGAAAAAAGGCCCTGGCTCTCCTCCTCCGCCTCCTCGCCCGGCCAGAGGACAGATGGCGGCAGAAGAAAGCGAGCGAGCGGCGGCTCTCTCTCCCTCGCCACTCCTCAACAGATGCACCGTTTATTTATTGAAAAATAAATCAGACCCGGGGCCAGGCCTGCCCAGGCTCCCCCTTTGATCTCCCAGTAGCCTTACTGGGCGCTGTTTTCAATCCCACCTACTTGGGCCACGGGTAATGGCAACTCTGTATACTGTTTAGGAAAACAGGCCCTCTGCAGCACGGGGGGGGGGCTATGGGGTCGTGTGCTCCACTACCAAGAGCACAATGAAGTTTGGCTCTTAAGAAAAAAGGTAGCGGAAAAGTAACATGAAGCCGAGTTTGACCTGGCTCGGCCTCTGACAGCTCAGCTTGAAGGAAAGCACGCTCACTCTGCAGGCATTTTACATTTCGTTCTTTCACAATCAATCATGCTTAATGCAGTCGCAGGTATCGGACTGTTTGGTGCAGCTAAGAACTAATAAATGTTGTGACGGCACGGCCGTGTGCAGGAAGGTTGAGAGGCTGATAGGTGTGTTGAGAAGATGTTTGGAGTATTTTAATATAATACTGATTACAATCGAGGAAAGCTGTTTTCTTTTCCTATTCTTAAAGGTTACTAAACAGTGATATCATTTTCTAAAAGTTATTGGAGTCTTCCAGCAGTTTAATAACCTCAAACGGCTTCCTCTTGCAGCCTCTAAAAGGATCAACATAAACATTAATAATAGTATTCTGCATCAACTTCAATTATATATAGAAACATCATTAATGAAATAAAACATCAGATACAGCCATATAATTATGGTTCTCATAAACTTATGATCTTCTAGAAACACCACGTTGTCATCCTCAAAATACTCTCATGTTATAGATTTTGAGGGATCTGTTTAAAAACATTTCATTAGGATTTTTCTTTTTAGGTTTTGATCTATTTTTCCAAAGGAAGATAAGTAAAGGTGGGATTACAGCAAACAGAGCTTGAGAAATATTTTGCTTTATTTGCATTAGACGCCAGTGTTTGTGTAGTCTCTCTGCACTCTGTACTGTATTGATGTATGCACGGGTCAGAGGTCGGCATTAGTGTATTTGTGTGTGAAAAGGAGACAGTGGTTGTCTTTCTTTCAGTCGCAGACTATGAACCACTGATGATGTGTACTCGTGTCTGACTTTTGGGCTACCTTTTGAGTTTGGTGTTGTAGAATGGTATGAGTTGGTCTGACCAAAGTCTGTCTGGATGTTTTTGACTGACTTCACTGCATTCAGACTATTTGAACAAGACTGTGCATGACTCTGCCTCGTCTGGTGCTAGCCAATTATTTGCGGGCATAGGTGTGTTTATTGAGATGCGTTTGTTTTTCTTTGAGAGAGAAAAATGAAAAGACCAGCGTGGATTTTGAAAGAAAAAAAAAAACATGTTGACTCGAAGCTACCCCCTGACCGATTCCTCCAGCCCCTCATGACTGATGAGCGGCGGTAATGCTAACATAACTTACTACTGAGGAGAATTTCAACCAGTTGCCAAATCAGTGATGACTTTCGTGTCAGGACAGGACCTTTAAAGCCGTCTTAATGTGGGAGTGGAGCGATGGTGGTACACATTAAAGTTGGCCCGTGTAATTAAACACAGTGTACCTGGATGTCACCCTCAGTCTCAACAAAGACTGAAGTGCACCGAGACCTCTCGGTGTCGGACAGAAGGTTGGCCCAAACAATACGGTTTGAGCTCAACTCAACCAAACAAGTGGTCTCCATTGTCCCCAATATGAAGCACTAATCACGCTGTTGTGCTTCGTGTTGATTCAGGTTTGCTTTGATTTCATGTTTTCTATAGTGTGTGTGTGTGTGTGTGTGTACAGGGGTGGATAATGGCTGTTTTGAACAGAATTGAGTTTGCTCTCTGGGTGTTGGCACCACTGTGACAAACCCAGCCCCACCCCTCCTCACACTCATACAGTCAATGGGATCGATACCCAGATTTGTTAAAGGGTAACTTTGGTATTTCTTTAACCTGGACCCTATTTTTCCATGTTTTTATGTCTGAGTAACAAGTGGGAACACAATTTCTTTTAATTGACCCAGTATTTTGCTTTGCAGACGGCTAAACAGGCTGCAATGTAATCATTTAAATTAACGTGCACTGAAAGTGCTTGTTTTTATCCCTGACAGGCTCGTATTGGTATAATACATGTCTGACAACATTATGAAAAGCCTACAGAATATTATTTCTTTCTGAAGCTGGAAAAAGATCGATTTTTGTTATTGTGGTGGTATAAATGTAATTTAAGCTTCTGGACCAGCCCGTTAATTAATACAGGTGTGTGCCTCCCTTTGTGTGCGGCAATCAGGAGAGCAAACAGTTTTTTGACCGCAGTTAGATAAAAACATGTTGAGAATTTTGGAAATGATTACATCTATCTTTTTTAGTAAACGTCTGGATCACACAAGTCGTAAACAATCCTCCGCACCTGACGGTGGAATCTAATTCTGCAATTGGTATGGCAGAAAAAACGGGGTTTAAACACAATGAATAGAAAAAAAGAAGCTGTGCAGCATTCAAATGTTGATTTAGAATTTGAATGACACTATGAAGCTTCAGAGTACTGGGCACAGCCCTACTTCCAGTAAAGCATAAATCTCACTTTTTGTGAGCTTTACTAAGGGAACCATCCGGGCCTGACTCCTACATATTGGAAGATCGTCCCAGATGGGACCACACTAGGCCAAAGTTTGTGAGTGAAAAGAAACCTCAGACCATGAGTGAACTGTTTGTTTTTTGTGGTTCAATAAAACAAACTGAGTGGTTCCTCTTCCCCAAGGAAAATAATCTAGCTGACTGCCTCATCTCAATAGCTGGAGAATCATCTCTGGTATTTGGAACAAAAGTTAAGGTGTAAAATGACATAGGATATAGTTATTTTTAATGTGTACCAATACATTTAATAAGTATTCCATAGTGTGTGCTTCTCATCTCGTTTTCAGGTTGTTACTAAAACCTGTAGTGTTTGTAGCTTCTCGGCCAGCAAACAACGATACATATCTATTTTTTAAGTTACTTGCAGTTGTTGAAAACAAATCTAGGGATTCATATTTACCTAAAATGCTGTTGAGCTCCAACCCGAGCTTTACACGACAAGGAAACAAGGAAAGCCTATCATCTCTCTGAATATTCACCACGACACTTGGCTGTGAGATAAACTGTAGCCTGCGGCTCGCATATCCTCTTTTTACTCTTCAAACACACACGCATGCACACGGTGATGCGTGCTATTACGTAAGTGCTAGGTGTGCTCTGGCAGCACAAGCTGTTCCGGAGGGGGGGCTGAGTGCGGTTGGAGGGGGGGGGGCTGCGAGGTTGCAGACAGACGGGGAGGTTGGACCGCTGCCGTTTCTTGGAGATCGGGAGATCATTACTGAGCAGAGTCACTCTCTACTCTTCAAAGCAGCCCTGTGATGAAAGAGTCCTGTATCACATTGAGTCAGATCTGCAATCTGGGTTTGAATGTCTCTCCAGTCATATAATTCCAATGCGTCAGATAATTCCACACACCAAGACTGATTACCCACAGATTTTCCTGCTCCCAGCGAGGATTTGGCAAGCCATCCAAACATATTAAAAATTGTTCTCGGGAGGCAAAATTGTGACGGTGGTGAGGATGTCGCAGCCAAATTGAACTGCCAGGCAGTTGCTCTAAAACCCCTCATGTTCCATCCATAATTATGAATCATGTTTAAGACATTTCAATCTGAAGTTAATATAACTGTATCCCAGTTTAATGTCTTTAGCATCAGCTGTGTGAAGTTTAGTCAGTGTTGCGCCAAGTGTGTTAAAGTGTGTTGCCGTCATATGTTGCGTGCCAGCGTTGGAAGGGATTAAGTGTTAAGGTAATAATCCTGATTCACCTCGGAAGACTCCAGTCGTCTTCTTCCAAACACGAACAGCTTTAGTACAGCTGAGCGACTGGTGTGCGGTTCATGGCTGACACAGCCTTGGAGCGGGCATGCCTGCGTTTGAAAGTCACTGTGTGTGTGTGTGTGTGTGTGTGTGTGTGTGTGTGTGTGTGTGT